TGAGAATGTATCAAGTCCACTGTCTGATGCCGGGAGTCATGACAACTACGACGACGGCAGACGACTTCGGACTCGGTGCGTTCTACATAGTCTCCCTGAACACAAGACCAAGTTGCTACAACGAGGTCAACCCACTTCTATAAGTCGAAAGGAGACTGCGACCACACCAGAGGCCACAACATCTTGGTCTTGACATCTACATTTTTTTCTCTTCTGCTCATCCAAATTGTCATCACAACCACGGGCATGCAAACAGAGCCTCTTGTCACGCACAGACGACACAATACAGCCTCTTTTCTAGTCCTTCAACGTGTTCCAGCATCTAAACACTGCAGAGGTGTTTGTCAGTCTGTCAGTCTATCAATCTGTCTGTCTGTGTGCCGGTGCATTCAGCACGGCCAACTGGAGTTCCGGTTTCTCACAGCGGCGTCCGCCTCGAGAGAAGCGGACGCGATGTGGACCAATGAAAGCGACATTGACGGTCTAAAAGTACCCATTTCCACAATCCCTTTGCTGCCCTCCAGCCAGCTCTATCCTTCTGCTATTCCGGAAGGATGGAATTCGTCGTGAAGACTCGATCTGTACATCGGTCGGCCTGCACACGACGAGGTTCGTCGAGAGACAAGTCGAAGGCGAGGGCGAGGGCGAGGGCGACTATTGACGTCTCGAAAGGCGAATAGGACTGTGGTTATGGACAACCAAACGCGACCTTAACTACGCGACATCCTCTCGGCACGACGACGGCTTATGGCGTCACTCGAGCTTAGCAACGGCGAAGCTCAGAGACACGCCGAAACCGTCGAATTCACAACAATATGCGACACAGGGCTCGTCCTTAAACAATCATGCCTGTGTGCGTGTGTGTGTGTGGATGGGTGGGTGGAGGGTGGCGGACCGGTTTTCCTTTCGCCCAAGTAAACTGTCGTCTTCACACATCTTCGACTGGCCAAGAGCTGGCTGGGCTCCGGCATGTGATTAATGCAGTCTGTCTGAAAGGGGGCCACAACCGATTGCGACTTGTCTTCTTTCCACGCACAATTCGGCGTCATGAGGACGCATGGGTTGGGTGGTGAAACGAAAAACGCACACATAAATGCACCAACGTGCCATCGAAAACACATAAATTTTCCAAGTCAATCACTATGTGCTACCCGCATAACTGTACACATCTTCGTGTGTGTGTGTGTGTGTTTGTGTGTGTGTCGGAGTTGATAATGTGCCTAGGTTGGTGCTTCTGCGGAATGTACTCGAACTCATTAAAGTCCAGTCTCGACGACAACTTGCATGCAGGCCTTGGGCAGTCTGAGGGTGATTCACAACACCAAAGAGCGACGCAAGCACACTGACACCACTGCCAGTCCTCCCACTTTCGTGCCCGACCCTTTTCTCGGGTACGCACGGCTTTTCGGCGCAGGCTCGAGCTCGAGGCGAGATTATTAGCCCAATAACTATCTGGCGGGCATGTGAAAGAAATTATGTGATATCCCTCAGTTGACCCTCACCATCGCTTCCGATTACCGGCCTCCACCTCCTCCACTCCCTCACTTCCTCACTCGCTCCTCATCCCGAAGACCGGCATGTACAGACACGACTACTGGTCAGCACTTTTATCGAAATGCTTCTTTTCCACCTCGAGGCGAGGGCTACTCGACGCGAGTATGGTTGGCAAGTTCTGTTGTTTCTAGGCCGTCCGGAGGAGGTGTTCTGGCGGATTAATTGCTCTTCCCACTCTCGACTGTCATCACCCGGCCCGGCCAGATATGCGGACGTCCGGTCGGCAGCAATCACTCCACCAGCCTCTCTCCCTACTCTTCTGCGTTTCTATGAGTACACAAACATGTATGTATGTATGTATGTATGTATGTATGTATGTATGTATGTATG